GTTTTATGGACTTTGATGTTGAATACTGTTCGTGATCTCCATATCCTTCTTCATTGAGGAGCATAAATTTATGATTATATTTTTGTTTTGTTTTTTATCATTCAAAGGTTTTGTTCCAAAAATGGCATGATATGTTTCTGATATCCATAAACTTTGAATTTTTTCACAAATCCAAAAACATAGCATAAAAGCAAGAAAAACAACGTAATTTATATAAATTCATTTCCCCTAGCTCTAACCTTTAAACTTACATATACATCTGTATGCATTCTACTTTTAAATACATACTTTTTAACTACATTATATAAGGTACTATATTTATTTTTTCTTGTATATACAGGAAATGCCGTACACATCGAGAACATTCTTTTAATGATATTTTAAAAAATCCTCCAAAACTGGCAAAAATTTACATCTGAGTGAAAAATAGTTCAACCTTCAGAGATATCTATAAACTAAAAAAAACAACAACTTTTCTTTTCAATACTTTTTAGCCCACAGACACCTGATAAATGGTTGCTGTTAGTGTAAAATCCCCTTTTTTCTGAGATTTTATAGATACTAACTAACTTTAATTGCAAATACAAATGAACTCTTAGTCTATCATGCCATTACTTCGATATCTAAAGTCCTAGCAGATACCGTCCAAAAGTTAATGCCAAAGTAAAAGTTTTGAAGTTTTGTGTAAAAGTGTGTCAAACTCCATGGTAAAGGTCAAATGGTCAAAATTGGTTGTACAAAAAAAAAGGTCTTGTAACAAAAATACACCTGAAATATAAAAGCCATAGTCCCACCCAGTCTAAAGTTATGGGCAAGGTTCAAGTTTTTGCGGACAAATAGACAAACGGACGGACAGGAAAAAAACTATATACCCCCGAAACTTCGTTTACGGGGCATAAGTATAATATGTAAAGTAACAACTTTTTCATAATCGAACATTTGCTTTTTTTTTCTATTGGTAAATCATCACATGTAAGTACATGTAGAACGGGGAAAACGATACATGTGCCAGTTTTTGGAAAGACGAGCACTTCTTTTTTTAGTTAATTATGTTTTTTTGCTACAACCCCCATTTTCTTAATGTTTTGTTGACACTAGCAAACGACAAAAGACATTTTACAGGTTTTGAGCTAAACACTTTTTGTTTCCTTTGTATGATAGGTCAGAGTGAATCTAATTTCGTAATTTTATTTTTACAAATTAAATCATCCCTATTTTTTATCAGGAGTTTGAAACTTCATTCATAGAAAACCAAATATTTTCTAAGCTAGCGCATTTTTTTCGCGCTCGTTTTAAAAGAAAGGATAAAAAACGTTAAACTTTTGAAAAATAAAACTTAATTTGAGTTTTGCAAATTATTTATTCAGGGTAAAATCAAAGAGATTTATAAGTAATTAAATATGGAAACTTTTTTTGGCACCAGCAAGAAAATGACCTTTTTAGCTCACCTGAGCCAAAGGCTCAAGTGAGCTTTTCTGATCAAAATTTGTCCGTTGTCTGTCGTTGTCGTCGTAGTCGTCGTTGTCGTCGTAGTCGTCGTTGTCGTAAAACTTTTCACATTTTCATCTTCTTATCAAGAACCACTGGGCCAATTGCAACCAAACTTGCTACAAAGTATCCTTGAGTAAAGGGGATTCAAGTTTGTTCAAATGAAGGGCCACGCCCTTTTCCAAGAGGAGATAATTATGAATTAGAGAAAAATTAATGGCATTTAAAAAAAAATCTTCTCAAGAATCACTGGGCCAGGAAAGATGAAACTCATGTGAAATCATCCTGAGGTAGTATAGATTCAAGTTTGTTCAAATCATGACCCCTGGGAGTAGGGTGGGGCCAAAATGGCCGATCAAAGTTTTAGATAGGAATATATAGGAAAAATCTTAAAAATCTTCTTCTCAAGAACCACTGGGCCAGGAAAGATGAAACCCATGTGGAATCATCTTCAGGTAGTGTAAATTCAAGTTTGTTCAAATCATGACCCCTGGGGGTAGGGTGGGGCCAAAATGGCTGATTAAAGTTTTACATAGGAATATATAGGAAAAATCTTTAAAAATCTTCTTCTCAAGAACCACTGGGCCAGGAAAGATGAAACTCATGTGGAATCATCCTCAGGAAGTGTAAATTCAAATTTGTTCAAATCATGACCCCCGGGGGTAGGGTGGGGCCAATATGGTCGATCAAATTTTACATAGGAAGATATAGGAAAAATCTTTAAAAATCTTCTTCTCAAGAACCACTGGGCCAGGAAAGATGAAACTCATGTGGAATCATCTTCAGGTAGTGTAAATTCAAGTTTGTTCAAATCATGACCCCTGGGGGTTAAGGGTGGGGCCAAAATGGCCGATCAAAGTTTTACATAGGAATATAAAGGAAAAATCTTTAAAAATCTTCTTCTCAAGAACCACTGGGGCAGGAAAAATGAAACACATGTGGAGTCATCCTCAGGTAGTGTATATTCATGTTTGTTCAAATCATTTTAGGGTGGGGCCAAAATGGCCGATCAAAGTTTTACATAGGAATATATAGGAAAATCTTTAAAAATCTTCTTCTCAAGAACCACTTGGCCAGGAAAGATGAAACTCATGTGGAATCATCCTCAGGAAGTGTAAATTCAAGTTTGTTCAAATCATGACCCCCGGGGGTAGGGTGGGGCCAAAATGGCCGATCAAAGTTTTACATAGGAATATATAGGAAAAATTTTCTTCTCAAGAACCATAGAGACAGGAAAGATGAAACTCATGTGGAATCATCTTCAGGTATTGTAGATTCAAGTTTCTTCAAATCATGACCTCCGGGGGTAGGGTGGGGCCCAATGGCCGATAAAAGTTTTAAATAGGAATATATAGGGAAACCTTTTAAAATCTTCTTTTCAAGTGCTTCAAAGCCATGCTTAGTGATATTTATAGGGAATCATCCTCAGGTATTGTAGATTCTAGTTTGTTCAAATCATGACCCCCTGGGGGGTTAAAATCAAGCCCCCCCCCTCCCCGCCCTCAGTTAACTTTCAGTTTTGATCTGATGTGTGCTTTTTTCTAGCCAATTGCTCAGGTGAGCGATGTGGCCCCTGGGCCTCTTGTTAAAGATTAAAATGACAACTGTGGAAACCTACTGTATAAAATCAAATGTAATAAACGATTCTATGAATGCGCGTGTCTTTGCTCTAATAGCCTTAGAACATTTCAATATTACATTGTTTTCCTTTAATGGGGATAAAACAGTTTGTATTATTAATGTAAGGTATTGTATACATGTAGCTTTGATTTCGTTATTAAGCTTAAAAGCTTTCAGAAATTAACACTTCAAAGCATAAGGCTGCTTGATATTACCCGTATATATTCGCCTAACAAGAATATTCCTACTAAAACGAATGCCTTTGCATCAAAAATAACAAGGGGTCATTCTTCTACAGGGTCATTTTTCTACAATGCACACGGAGAAAAACGACCCCATGGCCATAATTTCTACAGAAAAGCGGGTCATTTTTCTACGTAGAATATTGACCAGGGGGTCAAATTTCTACGTAGAAAAATGACCCTCGGGCAATATTCTACGGGGGTCACTTTTCGTCGTTACAACGTACGTACAGACAGACGGACGGAAGGACGGACGGACATACCGATTACAGTATACCCTCCCACTTTTCAAGCGGGGAGTATAATAAGCATAATACAAATGTGTGAAACTATTTGTTTTGTTTATGCGGGAAGTTTCATTTCATGATTAATGACCATGGAACACACTTAACGGCAATGAAACGTCAAAAACGTAGCGTCAAGAATTTCTGGAAAATCCTATCCTATGACATTTCACACCTTATAATCCGATATCCACTCATTAACAAGCTTTTTCTAATCACTTGGCATTTAGTTATTTACCATTTTTCTCACTGTATAGTTTCCTTTGTCAATGTTTTAATTTCTTTTTTCATTTAAAGGAACAACACAAACAAAAATTTGATGCATGGATTGATATATTTTTTTGATTGCTTTTGATTTGAAATGACAAATAATAAATCCCTAAAATAAAAAGAAATCGTATGTTTTCCTTGGTGCTAAGATATAAGCTTTGTTTTGCTTTCTATATAATTCCATACATGATTTTGCACCAATTTTTAATCTTATAACAAAACCTTATTAAATTCTCCCAGTATACTTGATAAACATTATCCAGGTTACCAATTTAAATGTAAATATATGAGGGTTTTTTTTCGGTTTTGCTCCATTTTACATTGAATATGACTAGAGACATTATTTAGTGTGTTGTGTATAAATTTTTAAATTTTGACCTGCTCCACGATCCAAGTTTTGCATTTTTTATATATCTGGATGAATTTTAAAATAAGTCGTGAAATTTTATTTTTTAAAATACAAATCATTTGAATTTATCGTTAAAATATGTCTACTAAATTTGGATAACATATGACGTCAAAAAAAAAATGACAGAAATCCACGAACTTTTCGAACAACCCTAGTGTTTCTTGCATAGGTCATGTTTGTGGAGGAAAATATTTTTGGAACAGTATTACTACCAAAACCTTAACAACAACAAAAAATCCTAGTTTCTGTTTATAGGTGGAAGAAATTTCACTGATTTTTAAAAGTTTTAGACTTCATATATCTATAACCCCCCCGGAGGTTAAGTTTGAATTTAATGTTTGACAAAAACATTATAAGTCACCTAATTGTGAAAATCGAGAGGACTGTAGGTTTTCTCCTCATCTGTCTGTCTGTCTGCACTTCGTCTGTCTCCTTCTCTTGTGAACTTGGTTTTCCGTATTTTTTTCTAAATGCTTTCAGATATTGAGCTCGCTGGGTTTTTTTTTTTTTGTATGTTAGTTTCTCTTAGGAAGTTATAGATCAAGTGGAATTTTTTTCCGCTCCAATAATTTTTGACGGAATTATGATGTTATTTAGACTTCAATAAGAACTAGATGAGTCATACCGGTAGAGACTAGTATTGTTTCAACAATACTCTCCAAATGTTTGTGTTTTCAACTGTTTTGTTGATTTTATTACAACTAATTGACATTTAGTACTTTTCACAGTTAGCCTCGGAGTACTGCGTACAGATTTTGTTCGAAGTAGTCTCCGTGTATCCCGCTACTTGATGTAAGGCGGATCCTGGAAAAACGAACATTATAATTTGATATTCGAAATTTGAAAAAAAAAATGATAAAATTAGAAATAAAAAAGATTGTGTTTGAAAAAAGATAAGGATTCATGGCTTGTGTTCAGGTGAAATTTCTTTACACAAACAACATATTTAAAAGTTTTATGTTTATTTTTTCTGTTTTTTGTTTTGAACATATTTTATTGACAATATGTCAAAGGGATCGGACACAAGTTCTAGCAACTTAGATAGTCCTCTCCCATTTTTTCTTTCATCTTTTTGGTGGAAGATATCAAATTATGTTAAGATAATGCATAATGTATAGACCTTTTGAACCGTAAAATTATGTTTTAAATACTGCATCATGTATAGACCCTTTGAAACTTATGTAAACATATATATATATATATATATATATATATATATATATATATATATATATATATATATATATATATATATATATATATATATATATATATATATATATATATATATATGTTATGAGATTATTTAGATTGCAGTAGTTAGTGCTGTAGTCAAGATGAGCATACCAGGTCTCGGAGGTAGAGTATCCCTAAAATGAAATATATGGAAATAACGAACAGTAATGAAATACTATTATACGGAGATAACGAACAGTGTTCAAGTTCAAAAGTCCATAAAACAATACAAAATAGCAGCAGAGCAAACACGCACCTCCAAAACATCAGAGATGGGATCAGATACCATGAAGGAGTGAATATCCATTGCCTACCGGTAACACTCGCAACATGTTACTTGTCATGATCGGGAAATTTCGGTAAAATCCGTCGACAATTCAGTGTGTAAATAATGGTCTAACAATAAGTATGGAAACGTCAGTCAGCATTTGACTCGATGATAAATTTGTATTTGCAGACAGGGTCAATGTATCGACCAAAGAAATTATGAAATGATGAAACAAACAAAGTGTTTCCGATGGCATGTCTTATCTGCGGTGAAAGATTCACCTTAAGCTTATGGATATTAACCTAAATAATGTTAGGCCATCATATTGAATTGTCGACGAATTTTTCCGATACTATTGTTTGCAGCTAACTGTAAAGTTTCACATTACTTCACGATCTTTTTCGTCAGATGCATCCAGCGTAAACAATTCACGTGATTGGTCGATTCAAATTATCAACATTGACACGGAAATAGTCTGTTGCACGAGCAACCAATCAGGGATAAGAAGAAAGTTCCAGTCGTAAAGCTTGCGGTTAGGAGGCGTGTACAATTTACCTTGAGAGCAGCTGGCAACTAGATCGTGACGTAACGTGAAACTTTACAGTCGACTGCAAACAATAGTATTTCCCGATCATGACAAGGAGCACACGGTTGTGACCGGTCGGCAGGGGATGCTCACTCTTCAATGGCACCTGATTCCACCTCTGATGTCCATGTTTGTTCTGCTCCTATTTTGTATTGTTTAAGGGACTTTTGAGCTTGAATACTGTTCATTGTCTCCATATCTAATTGGTATTTTCATGATCTTTGAATTTGAAAAAGAAACCAACTATTTCATTTCAGAAATATTGATGTCGACAAGACGTCTTCAAATACCGAAGTTCAACTGTACTCGAAATATTGCGTTGAGAACAAAGGAAAAAAAATACTCAAACATATACTGGTAATGGTCAGATAAACTGTTTCTTATATATTCTCAAAAAGTTTGAAAAATTAACATAATTTAAAACATTTAAAATGATCAATGGTAAAAGTACGTATACAGTGAAATGATCACAAGCATGTAATCAATGACTTTCGTATTAATACGAGTTGTGATTTTTACATACCTACTAGCTGCTGAACTGTAGCTCTTTGGTTAGGAAAATTTGGACAGACAAATCCGTGAGCTACAGATCCAAGCATTGTTAACAAATCCTTTGATTTACGGTGTCGCTCTTGATCGTTCGTTTCAGGCTTTATTACTTTTATTATATGCAACCCCCTGATAAAGTATTATATCTTTTAATTTACCATATATTTTACCATATTTCTGATATTTTGTTTGCCTTTAGGACGCTTTATTTAAGGTAAACCATATGACAAATATATGACGTTGACATTCAAAGACCATACAGGGCCTCCTTAGAACCGTTGAAAGATAAAAAAAAATAGTATTAGAAATATGTCAAGTTAAATAGTGTTGATTGTTTAAAAATATCGCAGAGAATTCCATATAACAAAAATACCCAAAATGTGTGACAAAAAAAACATCGCCGTAAATGTAAGGAGACTGCAGTGCTTGGATATGTACATGTAGGTTCGCTTGTCCGAAATTTCTCAACCAGATATAACCGTTCACGGTAGCTCAGTCGGTAGAGCGCTCGCTCCGTGATCGGGAGGTCGTGAGTTCGTATCTCGGCCGCGACTGACCTAGTCGTTAAAATGGGTAGCAACTGTTCCTTCGCCATGCGCTCTGCACTTTGAAGTGAAAGTTGCGGGTCCTTCGGATGAGACCTTAAAAACCGAGGCCCCGTGTCAGCGGCAGGCGTTGGCACGATAAAGATCCCTCACTGCTCAATTTCCCTGAGTGCCGAGTAAAGGTCAAAATTTGAAGCCCTTCACCGGCATACGGTGACGTCTCCATATGAGTGAAAAATTCTTGAGAGGGACGTTAAACAATATACAATCAATCAATCAATCAACCAGATATAGCCACAGTTCTGCGGCTACATGCGTTAGGTTAATCAACATAATAATAATGAGGAAGCATCTACTGGGGTAAAGGTGAAGGTCAGGTCATCAAGATAATGGTTACTTACGTGAACTTTACACGAGGACGCATCGACGGGTAAAGTCGAAGGTCATGTCATCAACATAATGGTTACTTACGTGAACTTTACATGAGGACGCATCGACTGGGGTAAAGGTGAAGGTCATGTCATCAACCTAATGGTTACTTACGTGAACTTTACACGAGGAAGCATCTACTTGGGTAAAGGTGAAGGTCAGGTCATCAACATAATGGTGGACTGGGGTTTCGTGGGTAGCCTTCAGTGTATTACCAGACTCAGATTTGAACTGTCAAAGGAGAATCAATTTATCAAGACAATAGAAAGGCGTTTTACAAAAATATATTACATATTGAAATCATTTAGAAAAAATACAGGTTAATTTTTGCCTGACAATTTTATGACAATACAAATTTTCCCTCTCCCTCTTTCATTAGACTTACAGTGTACAGACATTTTTCGCCTCCACTAGCACACCCATCAGCAGACGTCCATGCGGCTATTTGACTTTTGATCTTTGCTTTTACGTCATCACAGGAAGTTCCAAATGTCCTTTAAAATATCAAGGGTTTTTAAGTTTTAAATCATTACCTGATCGATACCGTAAAAAACACCATCAACAACCAATCCCTAATATCCACTATCCAATAACCAGTTTGATATTAAGAAAAAAAAAGACTTTGTTACAAATTAAAAAAAAATTAAATAATATGTAAATATTTCAAATAGTTTAAACCTTGTAGAACAATTCTATTTAAACTTTATACGAAAAAAAATCTATTCCCGTTGTCTATTTGCCTTAAACTGTTAAAATCGACAATTAAATATATATCTTGACCAACATAAAATCAAATGACGCTAAAATTATCATTTACATCATTTGATTAAAAAATAAAGATAAAACGCTCCTTGTGCCTGCAAAGGAAGAGGACATTTCTACCATTTAAAAACCAAAAAAAAAAAAAAACGTGAAAATGTTTTGACAACTGATTTTTAGATTCAAGATGATTCGTTATCTATACATTTCGTTTTCTCGTATAAAAAAAATCATACTGTGAGTTCATAGAAATACATATATGTGCAGGTCAAGAAAAAATTAGAAATATGCACGACAAAAAATCTAGGGTTTAAATTTCCATAGAATATAGCTTTGTCTTCATTATTCGAAAAATTATAACTTAAAACGTAAATTACTGTACTGTTTGATTTAAACAGCAAATTACATATTTTCTTTGCTACCATAGTAGAAACAAATGCGCCAAAATCACTGAAAGACTATAATTAATTACATTTACATAAAATGCCTACCAGTCAACTTTGCATGAAGCATGAACTGGACCATCGCCTAAAAGAAATGCGTAGGAAGTCCCAAGGACAGCAAAAAGTACACAACAGATGGATTTCATCGTGGAATCGAGTCCTATTTGACTATTGACTGGTACGTAGTGTGAGTAAATGGGATTTTACCAAAATGTTATACATGAAAAGATTGGAGAGATAAGAAATAAATTCCGTCCACGCATGCGTATAAACATTTTGTGTAAGAGTACTTCTCTTCATTTGTTTGATATGTATCGAATTGACAAGATCAATCAAGAATCATTTTCATCGAAGGAGGTCAATGTATCTCCTTTATTTGGTAGAAAAATATATTTTAAAGAAAAAAAAATACAACCAATACATGTAATATGCAACGCTTTGTCGCCCACGTGGTGCAGTGATTAAAAGCTTTGCTCTAAAGTCGCGAAGTTAGTTGATGACTTTCGCATATTCGAATCATACTGCGAGACATGCACGTGGAGACTGCTCTTTCGGATGAGACTGTATAAACCAAGATCCATGTCGCAGGAGGTGCTGGCGCTTAGAAGATTTCTCATTGCTCAAAGTCCGTAATTGTCGGGTACACGTTTAAATCTGCAACCCTCCACCGGCAAGATGTGGCGTCTGCCTATGACAAAATTCTCAAAGATTAACAACACTTACAATGACTTAATTTATCATAAAACTTAGCATTTTTGAAATAGAGGACATAAGAATTCAATCGTTTAAGAAATTTTGAGGAAAATTATTCATGTTATTTAGGGTTTAAAAAAATGATATTCCATTTCTTTGTTAAAAAAAACACGTTATAGACAACACTGCGCAGAAATGATCATTTCATGAACGCATTGTGTGACACGTTTACCTTATCTTATAGGAGCTTAAAGATTATACAAGTAATGTCATCTCTGATCTCATTGTCACAAAATACAAGGTTGAAAATTACACTTTCTTTTCAGCTTTTTTTAAAAAAATTATTTCACTTGATGTATTTATAAATTAAGGTGCCTGTAGAAAAAAGTAAAGAAAAACCTGTAATTATTGAGCAATTCTTAATATTACATGTAAATTCGCTAATTTCTTTCAGATATAAGGTGGGTACTGTTTATCTTCATTTCGGTCACAGCCACTAACCTTGAATTCGAATTAGAATTTTTGTGTAAGTGCTTTGTTCCTCGATGACTTTTGATTGATTGATAGTATAGTTGTTTTACGTCCCTCTCGAGAATTTTTCGCTCATATGGAGACGCCACCACTTGCCGGTGGAGGGCTGCGAATTTTGTCCTATACTCGACATTCAGAGCCATTGAGCAGGGAGGGATCTTTTTCGTGCCAGCACCAACTGCGATATGTGACCTCGGTTTAAACGGTCTCATCCGATTAACAGGACTCCACGTCCCACAGCGACTCTAGAGCAGACGCTCTAGAGTCAGTGTATCAATTCACTTCACTGGGTCAGTGTATCACTTCAATTCAAATTTTAAAATGATTTAGAATTTTAGAATTTAAATATAAAAAATTTCAACTTCCATATCTCGAAAGATCAAACTATTTCGTACATTAAAAAAATTAAATTTTAGTTTATGAAACATTACTTTTCAAAATTCTTAACTGGTCTTAGATTTTTACGTTGAATATTCAAACTTCAAATTTATGACTTTGGTATTTTAATTTTTGAGTGTTTGATGTATCGTTTGTTCTTAAAATTTATGCTTAAAATATAATGTGTTCTACTATTTTTCGTACTTTTATATTTTACTTTATTATTCTTAATTTCAAATTTGATAACGTTTTAGTCTTTTTGGAATTTGGAACTTTGATTAAGAATGACCCTTTTTACATTTTAGGATTTTAGAATCTAAATCTAAGCATTTAGAATTTTGTATAATACCTAAAATATCAAATTCCAAACCGGTTTCAATTTTTAAACTATGTCAAAAGCCCTTAAAGTCCAGGCTTTTTGATATCATTTACAGCTGCTTTTTCAATAAAAATGGAACTCTTAAATTTACTTACTTGGTCATTGGTCATTTGCAAAATAATTTTGTTAAAACACATTCTGATAGCACACACAAGTACTCTGAAGTTAACATAAAAAAGATCCTTGAGTTTCTGATTGACAGTACAGTAAAACTCGTTTAGTACGAACACGGATATTGCGAATTCACGGATATAGCGAAGTCATTTCAGATCCCCACCTATATAAATTTAACGAATTTCTTATACGGTTATAACGAATTACGGATATAGCGAAGTAATTTCATAGGTCCCTGTGACTTCGTTATAAGCGAGTTTTGCTGTATCTATGTGGTTTTTGGAGACCAGGTCTTTCAACAATCTATTTGAATTCCCATGGGTACCAATTGCGCTCCGTTATTAGCAGACCCAATTTTGTATTCATATGAAGCAGAATTTGTGCAAAATCTTATGCGTGAAAAGAATAAAACACTTACTGTTGCCTTCAACTCGATATTTAGATATATCGACGACGTATTAACAATGGTAATTTCCATTCCTACATCGATACAGTATATCCTGGATAGCTTGAGATAAAAGATACCACGGAGTCTGACACATCTGTTTCATACTTGGATATTTTACTTGAAAAAGACGTTAATGGTAATCTAACAACCATGCTATATGATAAACGTGATGACTTTAACTCTTCTATAGTCAACTTCCCTTACTTATGCAGCAATATACCTTCATCACCTGCATGTGGAGTGTATATATCTCAGCTGATTCGATACGCAAGAGCATGCTCTACTTATGAACAATTTCTAAATCGAGGTATATTATTGACAGGCAATTTGATAAAGCAAGAATATTAGCAGTCTCGTTTAAAGTCATTAAAACATTCTATTATTAAGTCAAATGGTGACTGACGTTTTTCATACTTATCGTTAGCCCATTATTTATACATTGAACTGACGACGGATTTTTTCCGTTATTTTCCGATCGTGACAAGGAGCACACGGCGGGTGTGACCGGTCAGCAGGGGATGCTCACTCCTCCATGGCATTTGATCTCACCTCTGATGTTTCGGAGGTCCGTGTTTGCTCTGCTCCTATTTTGTATTGTTTTATGGACTTTGATATTGAAAAATGTTCGTTGTCTCCATATCCTTCTTTTTTCGAGCGAAAGAATTCTCAAATATTTAGAATATTGAATTGATTGATTCAAATCGAGATTGGAATTTCGATATTTGGAATATTTTAAGTAAAATTCTAGGAACTTAAAAAGTTTTGGATTTTTTAAATTTGAATTTTTCAATCAAAGTCCTTGATTTAAAAAAATCTATAACGTTTTATATGTTGAATTTTATAAGTTTTAATTAAACTTTAAAATATCAAAAGAGGTAAACTGATATTGAACTTTGTATTGTCAAGTTTTAACTGTCTGAACAAACGAAAGATTAAAAACTCAAACGTTTTCAATTCCAAAATCTTTTTCTTTCAAATTTGAATATATAAGATAAACATCTAAGGATTGAACGTTTTAAAGTGTATTTAGAAATTTGAACATTTTGATTGTTGAACATTTTAAATGTTAAATTTCAATGTGCTAAATCGGTTTCAGTTTTTAAAATTTAGGAATTTGAGCGAATGTATTAAAATTTTAAATCATTTTAGAAATTCGAATTGTTACATGTAAGCGTTACACGGATTAGACGTTAAAAACTGAGGTCCCGTGTCATAGGCCGTGTTTGCATGTTAAAGAGTCCTCATTGATCAGTAGCCCTTAGTGCCAGGTAAAGGCCTATTTCAAAACCCTTCACCAGAATAAGGCGACGTTTCTATAAGAGTGAAAAATTCTCGAAAAGGACTTTAAACACCCATTCAATCAATCAATCATGCAATCTTTCAGAGTAACAGCCTCATAGGAAGTAAAAACGAGGCACTCTATCTAGCTGCCATAAGTAATAAGTACAAGCTATTAGAGAAAATAACAGAAAACTGAAAAAAGGCAACCAAAGTTAGATTTCTGGCAAAACTATACAAAAAGCCTACATTAAAAAATTGCATATATAAAACTCTGTATCCAAATGATTTATCAATCTTCAATTTGAAGAGAGTGAAAAACAGTGTAGAAGAATCGATATTTCATTTACAGGTATTTTGCAGATGTAAAATATAAAATTAAATGTTATAAATGAAAATGAAGAGTTTAAATTGAGCGGATCTTACCTTTGATATTTTAGAGGTCTCTGTTTGCTCTGCTCCAGATTTTTGTTGTCTGAGTGGACCTTGGAGCTTAGATACTAGTTGTTATTCTCAGTGTTTCACCGAGGACACTTTTATTTGAACTGGAATTAAATCACTAAAAAGGAACCTTAGTCTACATAATTTCAATGCTGTTCCGGGGAACAAATATTATATGATTTCGATTCCATTTAAAAATAGAAAGAAAGAATTTATTACTTTGCTTCTATTAATTAAACACGCAATTAAACATGCAAATGGCACCTGATCCCACCTCTGATGTTTCACTAAGGACACTTTTATTTGAACTAGAATTAAATCACTAAAAAGAATCCTAGTCACTATACATGTACACCACGAATTTCAATTGTTCCAGGGAACAAACATTCATATAACTTCGCTTTCTTTTAAAAATAGAAAGAGAGAATTTATGACTTTGCTTCTAGAAATTAAAGATGCAATTAAACATGCAAATAGCACCTGATTCCACCTCTGATGTTTTTTGAGGTCCGTGTTTGCTGACTTTGCTCTGTGAAACTGAATGCAAAGAAATAATGTCTTTTCCCTCAAATTAAACTTCTATCGTCTGTGTTCAATAATCCAGAAGTGAAAAAAGAATTAGGTAGATTACATGATCAGTGCGTACTGGTCCCTGCCGAAAAAGCAGGTTACAACATTGTCTTCGTTTGTAAGGCTCATTATATAAATTGTATTTTAGAAGAACTTGGATTAAAATTCTACTAGTGGTAATCCTACCTTTATTCATACTTCCCTTTCTAAGGAAGAAATTCTTCAAACTCATATGTCTGTTTTGAATACCGGTATATTGAATATTCCACAAAGCCAAAATGAATTTGAACTACCCTATATATAGTGGATTCCGAAACTTCATAAAAACCCTTACAAACAAAGAATAATGATACATTGCGGGTTCCAGTAA